CACCCTGAGGGTCCAGCAGGCCACTGATACCCTGGCCGTGCAGCACGGAGGAGGAAGCAGGGCTGGACTGGAGGCCTGGGGACGCCTGGGGCTGCCCCGATTCCCAGCAGACGCCTCACCCTCTGGGAAGCCCCAGCTGCCCCAGATCTCTCCCACAATGCTCTGACCACCCCCAACCCCCAAGTCCTCTCCCTTCTGTCCCCAGGCCCGAGGACTTGGAACTGCCCCCACCCTTGGCCTTGAAAGCTGGACAGAGTCCTCCAGGTTCCACGGGCCTCCTGCACCAGCACCTGCTCCACCCTCTTGTCGTCCCTGGCAGCCCCCCCTGAGGGCCGCCCACCTGGGTGACCCCAGAGCCGCCTCCTCACGCTTCTGTCTGCTCTGCACACCGTTCAACCAGCCTGACAGCTGCCCAAAGCCTCTAGAGCACAGAACGGGCCTGGTGTCTCTGTCTCCCTCTCGGGGTGGGCCACGGCCTGTTCTGTGTCCCGTCCCCTCCCCACTCACCAGCAGTGGACCCCAGCTTCCCTCTGCAGCAGCGCTCAACTCCGGCACTTTCTCAGGGAAGCACAGCCCGCCTCGCCCCCCCAGGCTCTTCTTCATCCCTCAGAGCCCCCCATGGCCTGGGCAGTCCATCATGAGTGCCCGCACCACACGATTGTAGACATTTGGCTTCTGGACTTAAATCCTTCACCGGACCATGACCAGGAGGGCAATGACCAGGCCTCGGCCTCAGCCCCCTGCCTGGCCTACACTGGCACAGAGCAGAGGAGGTGCAGGCCAGTCTTGAAGGCCAAGAAGTGGAGGGGGAGCCCTTAGCTGGGACCCGGGACCCTGCCCTCCATCCCCTAGGGTGGAGCTCCAGTCCTCGGGTACCCACAGCCGCAGTCCCACCCTCTGTGCCCAGAGACTGCCATCAAGAGAAAAGGGAAGCGTCCTTGGGGGTTTCCGGACAGTCCCTTGGAGATGGTCCAGCCGGGAGGTTGGGGCGTGGGGCTGGCCCTGTGGGGATCCACGGAGACCCAGGTCAGGGCTGTGTGGAGGGCCTCACGAAAGGGCAGGGGGGTGACGGGGTGCTGAGACCCAGGGCAGGGGTGACGGGGTGCTGAGCTCTTGGGAGTTGGGGCTTCTCAATCTTTGCAGAGTTGTAGGGGGAGGCCCAGCCTGGGGGTGAGGGTCTGTGTTTTGTGTCTGTGACATGGACCAGTCTCAGCCTCAGTTTCCCCATCTGCCCCAGGGGGAGGTGTGCACAGAATGCCTTCTAAATCCTCAGCCTGGCCCCTGGTCCTGAGTTCATGGGGAGTGTGTCGCCCAGTGGGATCCCTGGGTCTCTGGGCTCAGGCCTTGGCTGTGAGAGGAGTGGGGAGGGGCCCTGTGTCCCCGGGCCCAGGTCACAAGGGCATAGGAAGGAGAGGACCTGGGCCACCAGGGAGCATTGGGTCTGGGGAGTCCCTGGGACAGCAGGCACGGGGCTGGGGGGCTCACCTGCCTCCCTCTCCCTGCTGGTTCTGGTGGGCCCGGGGATGGGGGCAGTGATACCCTGCAGGCAACCGTGGGGGAGGGGACGGCTGCGGGCTGGGGAGGGCCCCGTCTCCCGCCTCCCTGGGCTGCCTCATTTCCTCCCTGATGCCCTGATGACCCTGGTGTCCTGGACAGGGCCTGGAGGTGCTGGTGCCGGGAGAGCCTGCGCTGGATGGATGAAGGAGTGAGTGCTGTACTTAGCGGGGGGCGTTGAGCACTGGGTCGGGAGCCCAGGACCTTTCCTCCTGCTGCCCGGGAGGCAGCACCCCGGACCCCTGGAGTCTGCATTCCAGGAGAGCGGGCAGACCACAGAGAGGGGGAAAAGGGGCAGAGGGCCGTGGCAGGGCTGACCACAGAGAGGGGGAAAAGGGGTGGAGGGCTGAGGCCGGTGAACACATGGGGCAGGGAGTGGGGCCAGGGCTTATCAGCAATCAGAGAAAGCCTCACGGTGGAGGTGAGGGTTTAGGTGGTTGGTGAAGGTGAAGCCCCCAGGAATGGGTTAGTGCCCTTAAAAAAGAGGCCCTAGAAGGCTCCCTCACCCTGACCACTGTATCAAGACACAACGAGGAGCCATCTAGGAACCAGGAAGAGACCCTCACCAGACCCCGAATCAGCCAGCACCTTGATCTTGGACCCCCCGCCTCCAGAAATGTGAGAAATAAACTCCTGTTTGTTTGTTTGTTTTTGAGATGGAGTCTCGCTCTGTTGCCCAGTGGCGGGTTCTCAGCTCACTGCAACCTCTGCCTGTTGGGTTCTAGCTGTTCTCCTGCCTCAGCCTCCCGAGTAGCTGGAATTATAGGCACCCGCTACCACACCCGGCTAGTTTTTGTATTTTTAGTAAGATGGGGTTTCACCATGTTGGCCAGGCTGGGCTTAAACTCCTGACTTCAAATGATCTGCTTGCCTCAGCCTCCCAAAGTGCTGGGATTACAGGTGTGAGTCACGGCACCCGGCCACATTTCTGTTCTTTTTAAGCCACTCAGTCTATGGTAGTTTTTATTCTTATAGCAACCTGAATAGACCAAGATACCCTCCCACATTCAACAGCTACTGAGTGGACAAGCTTAAATGAAACAACTGTTTTCAAATATGTGGCACCAGGCGGCCCAGGACAGTGTTGCTAGTGAAATCACTCTCAGGGCTCTGCACTGCTGGCTGCCTCCCGATTCTCTCCCCTCTCCCTCTGCTGTCCTGTCTTCTTTGCCCAGTCTCTCCTTGTCTCTGTCCTCCTCCTTCCTTCCCCCTCCCTCCCCATAGCCGGGCTTGGAAAAGTCAAACAGGCTTCTGAGGTCTCATCCCGGAGCTGCCACTAGTCCAGCCTCCCCGGGACCTGCCTTCACCGCCCAGAGCCCTGGGAGCCGGGGACACTCCCTGGGGCTGAGTGAGCACCAGGGGCTGCACCTGCCGCTCCCACATCCTCTGCCCCACTCCCGCAGGTGCAGCAGCTGGCTGGTGACGGACCCGGACCTGGGACCAGCAACTCCTGCTGGGTGTGGTTTCTCTCAGGGAGCCTCATTGTCAATGTCATTGTCTCCACACTTGGCCTTATCATATGCATGAAAAGAAGAAAGCCAAGGGATGAGCACACAGCAGCCCCATCAGGACTCATGTCTCCAGCCGTCATCTCTCAGAGCTCTGTCCCCCCAAATCTGGGAGGTGGCCCCAGAGCTTTTCCAGGATCTGCAGCTCCTCCCAAGAGGAGGAACTGCAGGCTGGGGCAGGTGGCCTTTCTGCTGTGGCCAGAGCTCAGATGTCAGGTGGCCTCCCTGGGGGAGGGGAAGGTGGGACCCCTGACCAGGAAGCCCTCTGCTGCCCCTGCCCACTCACTCCATGGCCCTGTGCTCCTGCCTGCCCCCAGGCCTATGGGGAAAAGAACAGACTGTGCTTAGCTGGGGCCTGGCCTCCCATCCAGCACTGGGGGGCAGCCAGGTCCACGGGGTCAGCCTCTGAAGAGCTGCCTTGGAAATGGCCCTGGACGGTGGTCAGGAGCTGGTCCGTGCACAGGGAGGCTCGGTTCCCTGGAGAGCACACCTCCGGTCAGGGAGTGGGTTACACGGGGTGAGGCAGCCGGAAGAGCTACTCTCTAGGGACCCAGGGCTCCAGCTGGCCTGCATGGGCCTCTCCACACCCCAGGACGCTGGGCCAGAGCTTCCCTAGGACAAGGGGTGACAGGAGAGGAGGTGGGGTGGGCAGCTCAGCCTGGGGGCTCTGCTGGAGGCAGGAGATGACCAGGAATGGAGAGGGGGCAGGGCGGGGTGGAGGGGGGCAGGGCGGGGTGGAGGGGGGCAGGGCAGGGTAGAGGGGGGCAGGGCGGGGTGGAGAGGGCGTGCTCAGAAGGGCTGTGTGGCTCCTCCATCCTCATGGCATGGCAGTGGGGTCGTTCCCCTCACCGCTTCTAACTCCAGACGTGGGAAAAGGGGCCACATCCCAAGCACAAAATGCATGTGTGGCTCAGAGGCCTGGGGACACCCCTGCCAGCAGGACCTGGGCCTGGCGGGTTCCCGGTGTGGGTGGGTTGGGGGGGAGCTGGGCACAGTGGGCGTCACTGATGCTGGGATTTCTCCATGAACTCAGTCAGGAAGTGTAGGTCTGATACAGATCTGGGGTTTCTGTCGGGCAAATCTGACAGCCTCGGACAGAGTCAGCGAGATCAGGAGAGCCCACTGAGAGCTCAGCTGCTGGGATGTGAAGGAGCGGGTGGGGCTCCTCCCTGGGTGGAGTGAACCCCCCGGCGTGCAGGAGGAGGTCAGACATCCCCCAAACAGCCCAGCAGCCATCCTGGAACTCCTTGTTCAGCCAGAAACACCGGGAGGCGACAGTTTGAGGAGAAACAAGATATTTACATCTTCCCACAGCATCTCCCCAAATACACTGTTTCACAACAAATAGAAAACAGGAGCCAAATTCAAATCCAATTTAGAAAATTACTTTAAATGTGATATACATTCAATGCCACATTGTGGCCAACCCAGTCCAGCCTTGGCCGTGAGGCAGTGCCCGGGGCCTGTCCTGCTAAGACCGCAATATTCAGACAGGCAGACAGCTGGGGTCTGGCGGGCCCTCTGGGCTGGCCAGGGGGGCTGGGGGTGTGGTCCCTGAGCGCGAGGCAACTGGCGCTCTTCCTCAAGGCTCTGGGGGGCTCAAGCTGCAGCAGAAGGGAGGCCCCAGGCCCTCGCTGGCCCATGGGAATGGCACGGGGTGTCTCCAGCCCCACCCCAGCAGGGGCTCCACCTCTCCCTCCACTGGAGGAGATGGAAGCCAGCCCAGGGGGGAGCCCCCAGGCCTCCCGGCTCCTGTGGTTCCACCAGGTGGACAGCCTCTTTCAGCAGCCGTCGCTCCGGGTATCTCTGGTGTCGGGGTACAGAGTCTGTAGGTCAGCGGTTTCAGCTCCTCCCAGTGAATGCAGGTTCTGTCTCCTCCACGGCCACCGTGGTGATGTCCGGAGGGGCCTGCAGGGCCTCAGTGACTATGGCTTCACCTTCTGCCTCCTGTCTTTTCCGCTGCGGGCACACAAAGCGTGGAGACCCCGCCTGCTCAGGCGCCCCTGGGACTCCAGGTTCTCGGTTCATTTTACTGTTTTCAATTTGAGGAGGTGGGTTCTCTCCTGAGCTACCGTGGCTGTACTTGAAGGACTCAGGACCCTCAGAGAACTGGGAGCCCCAACCATGTACACCAGAAACACCAGACTCAGCGGGGAGGGGGGAGGGGGAGGGGGAGGAGATCAATACCTGGACGGAGACGATCACCTTGACTACATCGCCTGCAATGCACAGACACACGGGTCAGGCAGGGGCAGTGTCTGATCAGGGGACACAGGCTCATGGCAATTGGGGTCTCACGGTGGTGGCAGGGGCACCAACTCCTGCTTCTCCCTGGGAGACCGTCCCCAAGGGACTGACCCTCTCTGAGAGCGGAGGTGGCCAGCTGTGTTGGGACTACTAACCCAGCCCGTCCCCCTAGGAGGCCCAGCATGGGTGAGAGGACTGGGGGCGCCCAGCCCACCTCCCCAGCTGCCGCCCCCAAGTGCATAACTAACCCTAATTCAACCGTCGTCTGTGGGAGGGGGACAAGTGCTTCACAGTGGCGAGGCCCTGCCCACCACACCAGCAGGTGCCCAGCTGGCTGAAACTAAGCTGCTCCCCTGCCTGCCCCGGAGCCTGAGGCCCTGAGACTTCCCTGCATTGGAGGCCCCGGGTGAGGATTGGGGGCTTTGCTGCCGCCTGGCCGGAGGATGGGGCTGACTTTCCCTTCGGACCTCAACGCTTAGAAGCTGCATTCCCAGGGACTGTGCACAGGGCTCCCAGGGCCACAGCCGGGTCCACACTGCTGGGTCAGTGCCCAGGAGGCCAGGCACAGCACAGATGCCCAGACCAGGGAGGGTAGGTGGAGGAATGAATGAATGAATGGCCTTACTCAGTGAGGACATAGCCTTGTCCCCAGCAGGGCGGCTGTTGACCCTCAACCCAGAGCCTCTCCCAGCTGAGCACAGCCTGCCCTGCTCCCCACAGCCCTGGGGGGCAGGCGGAAGCACAGGGTCATGGAGTGCGTGGGCAGGGGCGGCAGTGGGCTCCCTGGTCAGGGGTCCCACCTTCCCTTCCCCCAAGGAGGCCACCTGACCTCTGGGCTCCAGCCACAGCAGGAAGCCCACCTGCCCCAGCCTGCAGCTCCCCCTCCTGGGAGGAGCCGTGGATCCTGGAAAAGCTCTGGGGCCACCTCCCAGGTTTGGGGAGACAGAGCTCCGAGAGGCAACGATTGGGGACATGAGCCCTGATGGGGCTGCCGTGTGCTCACCCCTTGACTTTCTTCTTTTCACACATACGATTAGGCCAAGTATTAGGCCAACGACAATGACGATGAAGCTCCCTGAGAGAAGCCACCACACCCAGCGGGAACTGCTGGTCCCAGGTCCGGCCTCCGTCACCAGCCATTTGCTGCACCTGCGGGAGTGGGGCCGAGGATGTGGGAGCGGCAGGTGCAGCACCCGGTGTTCACTCAGTCCCAGGGAGCGTCCCCGGCTCACAGGTCCCCAGGCAGTGAAGACAGGTCCCAGGGAGGCTGTGCTGGTGGCAGCTCCTCAGGATGAGACCTCAGAGGTCTGTCTGACTTTTCCAAGCCCAGCTATGGGGAGGTGGAGAGAAGGAAGGAGGAGAAAAGAAACAAGGAGAGATTGGGCAAAGAAGACAGGACGGCAGAGGGAGGGGGAGAGAAGCGGGAGGCAGCCAGCAGCGCAGAGACCCCCAGAGAAGGGGAGACCAGTGGCAGACAAGGACAGAAAGTGGAGGGAGAGCCAGTGTCGGGGCAGAAACGGTTAGAGCTGGAGATGGACAGGACCAGAGGACGAGGAGGGCAGAGTAGGATGGAAGGCCCCACCACCGCCTCCCTGGGGGCCACCCCAGCTCCTCCCAAGAAGCTCTGAAGTCTCAGGTCAACCAGGGGCCCGGGGTCAGCATTTAAAGGTGTCCTCCCGTAGGCAGACGAAGAGCAGAGTGCTCACTTTCCCCCTCCCCTGAAGCCCAGGGGCTCCTCCCATGGCCCTGACATTCAGGGACACCCTGGGTCAGTGACCCAGGAGTGTCAGGGAACAGGGGCTCTGGAGGCAGCCTGCCTCTGGGCCTGCTTCTAGGAAGGCCCATCCTGAGCCTCCAGGAAGCTCGGATCTGATAAGGCTTTGTCTGGGCCCATGGAAGGGGTTATCTGGGGCACACAGGCTTCAGCCATGCAGCTCTCCTGGACGCGGGCATGTAACCAGGGTGCCATCCAGGGTGGGACCTTCAGGCCTTTCTGCTGGAGAAGACGGTCATCTCCCAGGGAAGCAACGTGGAGCCCCCTCCCCGGGGCACAGTGCTGGGCCTCCCCCGGGGCCACTTACTTGGTCCCGTGCTGGCATTTGTCCAGGGTCCCATTGGAAGAGAAGGTCCCCGGGGGGCAGTTCTGACACAGGGTGTCCTGACTCTCAGTGCCTGAGAAGAGAGTAACAGGCAGAGGACGCTGAGGGCACCAGGCGGGGAGGGGCTGGCGGCTAGGGACTGTTTGTCTGTGAGCTTCTAGACCTGGGTGCTCTGTGGGTGATGGGAGGCCTGGCCGGGAGGGCCAGGCCCGCTGTTGGCAGTATCAGAGGTGAGGCCTGGGGCGGTGGCTCTGGCTGTCCTGGACCTTGAGTAGTTGGAATTTCATGAGTCCAGGAGTCCCTCTGCGTCCACATCCTGCAGTGTTGTGGGGGCTGCCCGGCCAGGTGCCAGGCCAGGACTGGACAGTTACTCCTCCTAGACTTAGCTTGAACAGTGGCATTGACCGTGGTCATTCCCATAAACCCAGGCACCATGCCTGGGACCCGAGAGTGAGGCCTGGGGACTGGGGAGTCCCAGAACCCCGAGGTGGAGCCACCTGGGGTGGCCTTTCCCTGCCCCCTCCCCCACCTCCATTGCCTGTTCCCCACTGGGCTGCTTCCAGGACAGGACTAAAGTGGGTGGGCCTGGTGCTGGCCAAGGTTCTGTCTCACCAGGGCCCCTGGGCAGGCCATGACGTCAAGGAGACCTGGGGCTCCAGATAGCAGGGCACTAGGGACCAGGGTGGAAATGGGAGGGATGTCTGCCACCCACTACTTACCTCCCTTCTGTACCCTCTGGCCCGGGCTGGAGGTGGCGTAAGCGCGGCACGCAGCGCAGTGGTCCCCATCCTGGATGATGCAGAAGTGGCCTGGGCTGCAGCCACACAGGGCGTTCGCTGTCGTGGAGCAGTTCCGGCTTGTGCGCAGGCCCATGGCTGGGGTCCAAGAGGAGGGGCTGAGAGGGATACGTGGAGGCCAGGACACCACCCACAGGCCAGAACAGCATCCACAGGCCAAGGACTGCTGCCAGGGCCCCTGGCCAGGTTGAACCCCTGGCTCAGCCAAACGAGGTGCCCGGAGGTGCCTGGCATGGAAGACCTGAGGCTGGGAGGGACACCCAGGGACGGCAGAGTTGCGTGTGGGATGAGGGCCTGAAGGCGGGTCCTGAGAGGGCCTTGTTAACGGGAGCCAGGCCTCCTGGAGAAACTAGCCTTCTGCCAGATGGGCAGGATGCCAAGCTCGCACTGTCAGTTCCAGGACAGGGTAACTCAGACAGGTCCTCACCCCACGTGCCCACCCCAGACACCTGCCCCTCAGATGGGCTTCCCATCTGTGCAAACCAGGCCATTCCAATGGCAGAGGCAGGTAGGGTGAGAGCCCCACTTCTTCAGGTACTGGTGGAGGGGAGGTACCAGCTGGGCCTGAGCCCCTCCTGAGGGCAGCCTCACCTGCCACCTGTGCCCCCACATCCTCAGCCCAGGCAGACAGGTGCTTTCACAAGAGGGGAGGGGCATGGGGGCACGCAGGTTGAGATGTGAGCCCCAAATCCCAGCCTGCATGCATGAACCCCCAAAGCACTCCAGCTTCCTCTTCTGTTCATGGCTAGCCCACCTGCCTCGTGCCTCCCTGTAGGCTCAGGCCCTGCCCCCAGTTGTGCCATCAGCCCTGTCCTGCAGATGCCGTACTGCCTGGCCCCAGGGAGCACTTGCCATGCTGAGCCTGGCATGAGGCTCCAAGAGGACAAAGCCACTGGCCGCCATGGACAGGCTCTGCGCTCAGTGACTCAAAGGCACGCCTCTGGGTCTGGCTCCCCTTTCTGTCTGCCTGGACTCAGGTGGGCACCAGCCTCCAGGTGACCCCTTCCCCTGAGGTCATGGGGAAATCAATATCTGGAGGAGAAAGGGACAAGAAGCCCTGTGGGGAAGCAGCGGGTCCCAGTGCCGGCCGGAGAGCCCCAGCACCACCCCACTCCACTTTGCAGCTAGGGACGTGGGAACAGGAGAGGTCTGGGCACCCACCCAGGGCACCAGAGGAGCCAAGGACGAGGGCTAACGGTCAGTCGCCAAGCTCAAGATGGCCCACCTGATAGCCCCGTGACAAAGTGAGAGGTGAGACAGAGGCAGACGGGGGCCGGAGGCTGGCCTGAAGGCGTCCCCTGCAGGATGCACTCATGGAGATGGGGTCGGGACCTGGCCTGGGGCAGCCAGGGCCCTCCTGGGGCGCTGTGGTCGTGGAGAGAGGGTGTGGGGTGCCCGAGCGGAGGCTGGGCCGGCTGTGTTGGCCTCCTACCTGGGTCACACATTTGGCACTGCAGACACTTGCTCAGGCCATTGAAGTGAGCAATGTAGGTCCCCGGAGAGCAAGGTTCACACACCGTGCCCGTCTGCTCCCCGCAGGCCTGCCTCACGTGGAAACCTGCCATGCAGAGAGTGGGAACTTCGCATGTCTGCAGGAGGCCCCTTCGGGAGCCCATCCACCACTCCGCCTGCGCCCGGAGCCCGAGCAGGGAGACACCAGCTAAGGGGACCCAAATGGCCCATGAGCTGTTCCCCAAGGGACACAGCAGCCCATCAGCCACGAGTGGAGCCGCTCTGGGGAAAATCAGAAAGTTCTGGAAGCACGTGGGGCCTCCTGGGACACCTGGCCCGGCTCTGGTATGAGCCTGTGTCTCTGGTCACGGTGGGTCAGCCACGTCTCTCAGACCATTTCCCGTGCAGTGTGACTGTGAGGGTCCCCCAGGGTGAAGAGTCCAAGCTGCTGGCCTGGGGCTCCTGCCCTCCATGTCTGTGCACCTGGGCCCACACCCATGGCCAGGGAGCAGAGAACACAGGGGTGTCTGGGGCAGGACAGGGCAAGAGTGTCTGCCCTCAGCCCACGGAGCTGGCCGCCAAAGGGCCGCACATACCTGGACCGCACTTGGGACAGCACTCGGAGCCCACTGGGTACTCGTCCTCTTTGCAGGAGGGCAGAGCTGGGGCGTAGCAGGGGGATCCCAGGAAGGTGAGATACAGCACCTAAGGGGGTCAGGACAGGCGTTGGGAGATGTCCTGGCTGCCCCTGTGGGCTCTGCCAGACTTGGCGTCACAGCCTGAGTCTCCCCTCTGTGCAGTGGGGAGGAGCGGCAGTGCCTGGTGGAGAGGAGAGAAGCGGGCCCCGGGCCAGGCTCATGGGACAACCTTGCCAACCTGTGGAGCCCGGGACTGGGTGGGGACCGCCCTTCCTCCAGCCGTGATGACCCTGCCTTGCAGCATGGAGCCCTGGGAACTGGCACTCTGCCCTCGCCAGGGACTCCCCACCCCACACCTGGGAGCCTTGAGCCCACTGGGCAGACAACCTGTCGGCCCCCTGCTGGCCTAGGCTGGATCTGCTGACCCCGAAGAGCCAGCAGGGGCAGCCGGGGACGGGCCCCAGGGGCTCACAAGCCAGACAGTGGGTCACATCAGGGAGGGTGGCTCTGCTGTGGCCTCGTTCCTGGGCTGGCTCATGGGCAGTCGGGAGCCCCTGATGGGGAAAGGGGCTGGACAGACAGGAGGGTCACATGAGCACGGAGGGCGTCCCCACCCCTGTCCAGCCCCCTGCTGCACACTGATCTTATCACCTGTCACCAAGGTCAGGGCTGCCGGAGAGTTGGGTCACCTGCTCCAGGGCCCCGCCCAGAGACGCCCAGAGACACCCAGCCCCCAGAAGTGCCCACATCCTGCCAATGGGGGCTCACCAGCTGCCCGTGGATGGAGTGGTGAGCGGGCAGCACACACAGAAAGAGGTCTGCTGGGTAGGGCTGTTGCTCTGCCACTCACCTCACTGTGGTAAGCCCAGTGCTGGGGGTCTGGGTTGGCCCGAGATCTCCGGGCAGCCGGGGACAGGCTGGACGCAGGACCCAGCAACGGCCAGGACAGGGGCATGGGGAAGAGATCTCTGGGAGGCCCTGGGGTCAGAAGTGGGATCTGCGAGGCTCACCAGCGTCAAGATGTCGGCTTTGGGGGCAGATCTCCGGGGAGGAGACTCCCAACCTCCAGGAGGCTCCATGCCTCAGGCTCAGACTGGCAGCCCAGGAACCCAGCTAGCAAGACGAACTCCAGCAGAGGAACTCAGCGCCATTGCTGCGACCTCGGCTAAAAGAGAAAGCAAAAGAGAAACCGCCTCGGTGTGACAAGCTGTGCCTCAGAACCCCAGTGGCAGGAGAGTGGGCAGCGGTGGGTGTCTGGGAGCAGAAAGGGGCTCAGGCCTGCTGGGCGGAGCAGCGCTGGGGGACACAGGTGGGCCCTGCGGGAGGCAGGAGCTGTCCAGGCAAAGCCGAGGGGAAGGGCCAGTGTGAAGGAGGCGCCTGATGGGAGGGGCCAGTTCTCCCCCGGCACCTTTCCAGTCGGCCCTGGGTTTCCTGTAGAAGGGGGAGCCCCCCAAAGTGCATCTGTGTTTCCCCACCTCACTCACACACTCAGGGACCCCTGGCTGCTCCCCATGGCGCTGATTGACATTTTTGCCGAATAAAGGGGCCCTGTGGGTTTCCTGTTCCCATCTCAACTTCTGCTGAACAGGGTAAACTTCCCTTCTGAATCAAACCGCCAGAATGCGGTCTGGCCAGTTTCAGTCACAGGCCCACCAGGGCTGTGTCCCTGTGTGAGGGATGGGAAAAGCCCAGAGTGCCCCCGCCCGTCCCCTGGGAGGGTGGAAGCGCAGCTCTTACTCCCCCTGCAGAGACGCTCCTCGGGCTGGGAAGGCTGCTGGCCTCACCCGGTCTCTCTGTGGACCCTGCACCCCAGCCTCCTGGCTCCCTGTGCCCCACTGGGCTTCCCTGCCCTGCAGAGCCTGGCGGTGGGGAGACCACTGCACGGAGGCGGCCCACAGCCCCAGAGCCCCAAGACAGGCACCAGTGAGTCCCTCGTGATGGCCTCACTCCCTGCATCACATGGAACCTTGTGACCCATGCGACGACACTAGTGCCCCGTGGCCCCTTCCTGCTGCTGGACGTGGTGCAGCCAATGGAAGCCCAGGTCTGTCACGCACCGCCTGTGCTTGCCCGGAGCAGGTCCCGGTCACCCCCTCTGGGAGCTCCGGCTCTACACCAGGAACTGCCACCTCCAGCAAGCCCATCTGCTGGACACCTGGCCTAGGACTGCCCCAAGCCCCTCCTGGTCCTGACTTCTGCCGGGGACTCCCTCCAGGGTCCAGCCCTGGCCCCTGGGGGACTCAGTGGCATCTGGTGGAAAGGACCTTGGGGATCGTGCCCACCCTGACCTGCAGAAGAGTTGGCAGGGTGGCTGGACACAGGAAGCTGTGGCAGGAGCCCGGGACCCGCACCCCGACTAGAAAGTGTGCGGCCCCGCAGGCCAGCACTGGAGAGCGAGCAGGCAGGCGTGAGGTTAGGCAGGCTGTGGTGTGCGCCCCTGTGGGACCAAGCATCCCGAGCTCCAGAGGCAGGTGCACCGCCGACCACCGTCCGGGGTGGATGAGCCCAGGCCCCAGACTCCAGCACTCTGAGGCAGGGTGGGGGACCAGGTGACGCCCAGTGGAGGAAAAGCCCCCAAGAGACACCCAGGAGCGTGGACTCCCACCCCACGGCTGGAGCCTGGGAGAGGAGCCCTCTCTGCTGTTTCCCTGGTGCACTCACATCCTTGGCCCTCAGTGCCCCCTGCCAGGAATGCCTCCCACATACAGAGCCCCCCCAGCCCACAGAGCTGCATGGGGCTTTCAAAGAAGAAGGGGGCCCCTTTCATCCTCCACTCTCAGGTGCCCCAGGAGGGCATGGGGGCTCCAGGGTGCAGGGACAGCACGTTCCCTCCCCAACTCCCCAGGAACGCCCAGCCTCCAAGAGCAGACACAGCGCCTACGCCTGCTGGTACAGGCCTCCAACCCCACTCTCTCAGACACGTCCTCAAGTCATCTCATCCACCCCACCCTGGGAAGGAGGGAAACTGAGGCATGGCAAGAGACAAGACTAACACAGGCATCAGTGACACTCGGCCCCTCCTGCCCCACTTCAGCTTCCCACACCAAGGCCCCGAGCCTGACACAGGGTCCCAGGTACCAGTCCTCAAGGGGGCTGAAGGGAGCCCGTCTGCCCCACCGAGAGTGGAGACAGTGCCAGGTCTTTGCTGAAACGTCACCTCTTCCTTGAGGCCTTCTCTGATTGCTAAATAAGCCCTGTCCCCGGTCCCTGCTCCATGTGTCTGCCCGCCTCGGCCCTCCGCCCGTTTTCCCCTCTCTGTGGTCTGCCCGCTCTCCTGGAATGCAGACTCCAGGGGTCCAGGGTGCTGCCTCCCGGGCAGCAGGAGGAAAGGTCCTGGGCTCCTGACCCAGCGCTCAGCGCCCCCCACTAAATACAGCACTCACTCCTTCATCCATCCAGCGCAGGCTCTCCCGGCACCAGCACCTCCAGGCCCTGTCCAGGACACCAGGGTCATCAGGGCATCAGGGAGGAAATGAGGCAGCCCAGGGAGGCGGGAGACGGGGCCCTCCCCAGCCCGCAGCCATCCCCACCCACACAGTTGCCTGCAGGATATCACCGCCCCCATCCCCGGACCCACCAGAACCAGCAGGGAGAGGGAGGCAGGTGAGCCCCCCAGCCCCGTGCCTGCTGTCCCAGGGACTCCCCAGACCCAAAGCTGTTACCAGTGCAGGTCAGGCAGGGGGCTGAGGCCGAGGCCTGGTCATTGCCCTCCTGGCTATGGTCTGGTGAAGGATTTGAGTCCAGAAGCCAAACATCTACAGTCGTGTGGTGCAGACACTCATGATGGACTGCCCAGGCCACGGGGGGCTCTAACGGATGAAGAGGGGCTTGCAGGGGGCGAGGTGGGCTGCGCTTCTCTGAGAAAGTGCCGGAGTTGAGCGCTGCTGCAGAGGGAAGCTGGGGTCCACCGCTGATGAGTGGGGAGGGGACGGGACACAGAGCAGGCCGTGGCCCACCCTAAGAGGGAGGCACAGACACCAGGCCCGTTGTGTGCTCTGGAGGCTTTGGGTAGCTGTCAGGCTGGTTGGACGGTGTACAGAGCAGACGGAAGTGTGAGGGGGAGGCTCCGGGGTTACCCAGGTGGGCAGCCTGGTCGGCATACAGGGGGAGGCCGCCGGGGAGGGCAGGAGGGTGGAGCAGGTGCTGGTGCAGGAGGCCTTCGGAACCTGGAAGACTCTGTGTCCAGCTCTCATGGCCTAGGGCAGGGGCAGCTCCAACGCCTCGGGCCTGGGGACAGAAGGGAGAGGACTTGGGGGCTGGGGGCGATCAGAGCATTGTGGGAGAGATCTGGGGCAGCTGGGGCTTCCCAGAGGGTGAGGCGTCTGCTGGGAATTGGGGCAGCCCCAGGCGTCCCCAGGCCTCCAGTCCAGCCCTGCTTCCTCCGTGCTGCAGGCCAGGGTATCAGTTGCCTGCTGGGAAACCTCAGGGTGCCTCTGGCTCAGGTACCCGCCCCCGACACTCCTGGCTCTGGGCTCCCCCCGCCTCCCCTCTGTCTGCTTCCCCCACCTCCTCCCCTCCCCTGGTCACCATTCTGCCTCAGGGATGGCGTCTCCTCTCACCCCATATCAGGACCCTGGGCCCCAGCTCTGTTCCCCACCTCTCCTTCCTAGTGACCAACTCCAGACCTCCCATGGGCTTGGGGTCTCTGTGGCCGGAACATTCCTCAGACCCTCTCCTCTAGCCCCACTGTGTCCCACCACCCGGGCATCCCCCACCTGGGTTCCAGCCCTCCAAGGGGCCCCACGCTCTGTGTCCATGATCAGGACACTCACACCCACCCAGCTGGCACCCTTCCTTCCAGACATTCGAGCTCTCGAAGCTCACAGTCACCCTAGGTTAGTGCACAGCCACAACCCAGGCACCTTCAACATCCCCACCTTCCAGGTGAGGAAACTGAGGCACGGAGAGCTGGGGTCCAGGCCAGCGGGGCCTCCCTGGGGGAGCAAAGGAGAGTCGGACCTCAGAAGAGGCTCTGGGGGTCTGAGCCGCCACTGGGCACTGCCGTCCAGGTTCAGCTCAGGCACAGAGCTCAGGGGGAAGGTGCCTCCTGTCCTGGTTCAATAGATGGACCCCTGACCCTGGGAAAGGGACTGAGCCAGGGGAGGCCTCAGGTCACTGCACCATGAAGTTGTGGGGAGCTGCGGGGGCCTCTGGGCTCTGAGCTGGGCAGGCACAGTGTGGGGACCACCTGCTGAGGGGAAGAAGCGTGCCAGGGTGGACATCTCAGTGCACACACAGGAACCTGAAAAGGCTGAGGCGGCCCAGAGAGGCAGCGGGGCGTGTGCGAGGCGACCGGCACAGGAGCAGCAGGATCCCAGGCGGGAGCGCACGGCCTTTTCAGAGGCAGGTTCCAGGTCAATACTCAGTGTTTACATCATTACACTATTTGATCCAGGAGGTCCCACTGGGGCGTTTCATGGATAAACGCACATGCGAGGTGGAAGGTGGCCGGTGTGGGATGTGCCTGGAAGGCTTCATAGCAAAAGAGAATTCTGGAACCAACCAAAGTGCCGCTCTGAAGGGAGCTGGTCCCGTCAGCCCCACCTGCCGTGGAGTAACAGAGCTGGCAGTCTCCCTTCTGCCGCGGAAGCTTGAGACTGAAACTCAGGATGGACTGTTGTCAGCACCAGGGCACCATGGGGCCGGATCCCCAGCAGGAGGGGCAGGCGGGCTCGAGCGCCAGGAGGGTTCCCCAGCCCTGGGGTGGAGGCCCACTGAGGACGGCCGAGCAGGGGCAGGCGTCCAAGCAGGTCGGGCGGTCCTCGGGGGCTGAGGAGAAGGAGGTCAGGGCTCAGGAAAGCGTCCACAGAGGGACCTAGAAGGCAGAGCTCGGGAACGAGGGGAACTGCACAGACACAGAGCTCCAGAAGGCTGCCTGAGGGTCTCTGAGGCCTCCGGAGTCAGCACCATGCATGTGGAAGGTGGACTCTTCAGCATGGGTGGGAGCCCTAGGGGGCTGTGGACCCCCGGCCCCCAGAACTCACAGGCGGGAGACAGGAGTTCCGACCGCCAGAGGGAGAGTCCTGGAGGATCCTGGGCTGTCGGCAGCCACCCAGCAGGGCCGTCCTGGGAGTGAGGCTGGACTCTTCCTGCAGGAGAGACTGGGCCAGACCTGCTCTAAGAGGCTTCAGAAGCAGCCACATGAAGACCAAAGTGAACAGGAAGGAGCTGAACTCCACGCCGGAACACAGCGCAGCGTCCTTTAAAGGAAGGCCAAAACAACCCAGCAAAAAAGGTGGGTGATCAAAGCCGCCACAACACAATGTCCACACCCAACAAGAAACCGCCGCTATGCCCAGACGCAGGGCAAGGTGGCGGTGGGAACGTGAGTCAGCGGCAAGAGGCCCAGAAGGGCAGCCACGGTGGAACTGTCAGACGTGAATCCTGAGATAACAATCACAACGTCCTCTAAAGGAAAATGGAAGCCCGGTGTGAGAAACGGAGGCCAAAACAAAGAACCAGGTCTGAAATGAATAACGTGCTTGTAGGCGCACCAGTCCCCCTGGGCACAAGAAAACTGTGATCCCACAAATGCAAAAAGATCAACAGACCCCAAGACGCGTAAATAGAGAGGCACCCACAGCCCAGCAAATCCTAATCAATGCCCGGAAACCAGGGACACAGAGGGGACCTGAACACCGGGCTCAGGGGAGGCCACCTTTGGGTACAAAGACTCCAAGATAAGGGCCGCGTGGACTTGTCCCCAGGAACGCTGCAGGTCAGAAGGGAAGCAAAACGTTTTTATGATGCTGAAAGAACATTTCAATTTTGAATTCCAAACTCAGTGAATCTGTCTGTCAAAAGTGGGCCAAGCACGGTGACCTGCGCCTGGGGTCCCAGCAACTCGGAAGTCGAGGCAGGAGGATCACCTGAGCCCAGGATTCAAGGCCAGCTTGGGCAACACGGCAAGATCTTCTCT